CTATTTTATTTCATATTCTTTCTATAATCACTACTTTAATTTTAAAGTTGTATTAACTGATATAATTCCCTATGCTGTTCAGATCATGAAGATGTCAGGAATACTCCGGAAGATAAAAAGTATTACAAAACAAGTGTCTGGTAAATATTTTCTTCAAGGTTGTAAGATGATTTTCCATTTTTAATTTAGAAATCTATACCTTACCTTATATCTTGAGTTGCTTCTTTCTATTCAGGTTTAAGCAAAACTCTCTTAGAAATAATAATAAAAAATCCTTCAAAAATTTATGAAAAACCCTGGCCAGTGCTTTTTCTTACCAAATTACTGAGGCACTGAGTTTCTGTGCCCATTCAGATCATGATGGGTAGCCCTTCCTGGGTGATAAATTCGCCTGTTGTCATTACAGCAATATAGCTCAATTTACTCCTTGCATGGATAATTACAGTGATGGTTTTAAAGTCAAAGGCCTTATGATAAACCCAGACTTTCAGCTGTATTAATTGAAAATCTAATTGATGTAACTAGAGTCTTGTGCAGCATTATTAACCATGCAGCTATCTGTGATGTACAGAGTGTGATGGACATAGAAGTTCTGTCAATAGATTTGCTCCTTTCTCTTAAGCTGTAAATAAAGAAACATCATTCAAACTTCTGTCAGGATGCTGGAGCTGGCTGGTACAATGCTGGAGGCAGGAGAGGGGAGTGGAGCCTGCAATGGCATTCAAGCACAGCCCATCCCACTCACACAGGATGCAGAGAGGGACAGCAGGAGCCTATGTGGTGACACCTCTAAAAATTTTGGTGGAGGTGTCAGGGAACATCAGTGCCAGGGCCCACACCTTGGGGAGTGTCACAGCCCTACTTGTAGCCACCCCTCTGGGGCAAGAAATCCAGCAGCATCATCTTCACCACGGCATGCAGAAAGTGCCCTGCCCATGATTTTGGGGACAGTCATGGGGTTATAAGGTGTGAGCTGGGTCTCTCTTACCTTTGCGAATCAGGGCAATGCAGCTCAGTGTCAGGATCTTTAGCTGGTCACAGTGACCCAGAGAAATATTAGAAAGTCTCCTTTCCCAGCCCGGTGCTTGAAGAAGGAGTCAGAGCTCTTCATTTCTCCATCTCGAGGTTGTTTGTTGTTCCTTAGCTATAAAACACTTTCTCCAGCCCTGCCAAGGTCCATCCAGCAGGACAGTCCAGGCACTCTACCTGCCCCTAGGGTGGTGTTATCTCTTTATACTAAAAACTACTTGTACAATGTTTACAATCACTTTCCAAAACCTATCACCCAAATCTACTTTTCCACCCTGTGGTAACTTCACTAATATTCTACCTAAACTGTTGTGGCTTGCTGATCTTCATATAAGGTTGGTAATTTGCTCCACAGGTCATAATCAAACCCACAGGTGTTTTGGGCTCTGTGCCAGGGTCTCTGAGACCCCTGGCAGGGGTCTTGGCCATCCTGGACAGCCAGAGGGATGTCCTTGGTCCTGACAGCTCAGTATCCGCTTTACTTTCTTAAAGTGGAGGGAGATCTTTGTGTTTTATGCTTCAAGGAGCGCCAGTGAGTTTTACCCTTCAAGGATCCCAGCACTCCCATGCTCTCAGGACCCCTGTGAGCAAGAGGCAGAGCAGTCACAAGGTTCCTGAGGAGGGCAGGAGGACACAGGGGGATGGATCATCAGTGCAGACCAAAGAGCAGAAGCAGCAGAAAGTGCTGGGGCTCAGGAGTCCCCATCAAAGCCCCTCTGGATGGGCTCTGGAGGAAGGAGACAGAGCAGGGGATGTCCTCACCCTGCTTCTGTCAGCTCCCAGCAGCTCATTGAACAAATTAGGTTTCCCTCTCAGATCCACACATGACAGTGGATGGCATTTAGCAGATGGCATGTATAATGGGACTGTCACACCAACACAGGTTTAAAAATAAAGCTGGGGAGGCAGTTAATGAATATACAATTCTCCTTTCAAAGAATTCTTTCTGTCCCTGTCAGGCATTAGGCACTCAGCTTGTGAGTGCTGAAAGACTTCTGATGTGTGTGCATTAAAAGATACAGTTTAGCATGTAACTGTGTTGTTTTACTTTAAAAACCTCAATTGAAATAAGCAATTTATGTCATTCCTAAAAAAAAATTGACTTTTTCTTCTTGATGACTTTCAGCCCGCTCACAAGTTAAGTGCATTCTCTAGCTGGAGTGTTATCACTGAGAATATTTAATATTAAGACTAATCCTTTTCACAGAGATGATTCTACTCTGTAGTTTTCTGTCTTTATTATTTTAGCTTGCTTTTTAAAAAACAAAAATCAGGCAATTTAAAAATCTACTTTTCCAAAAACACTAGGTAATTTTTAATTACTTTTTTAAATTTCATATTATCTCAAACTGAATATCTTTATATAGGACTTTGCTTAAGAACATTGATTTGGGGAGATGGCACAGTAACAGTAGCAGTAGTTAGTAGAGAGACTAACACAATATATATAATACATGTAACTTCCTAAACTACACACTAGAATTTCTCTTTATTTAATAGTTTCTCACCGTAGCTCTTTCAGTGCCAACAACAAAAAAGGAAAAATACAATAGAAAATAAAAGGATTATATGCATTGTATTTCTCTCTTTATCCCCTTCTTTTTGTTGGCATTTTGGTGTTAATTAAAGGACTGCTCTAGCACCAACTGAAGCCATTTGGGAGGATTCCTTTTCTTTTCAGTGATGATTTTATCATTCTCATGTTTATTAGGTTTCACTGCTTTTCCAGCAGTCTGGCTTCTGGGACTGCAGGGAAAAAGCAGGGCAGATGTACAAATATATATGGTCATTATATCAATGTATATCAGTAGGAGAAAGGTAAATTCAGCTAAATCCTTTTGAGCAAACCTGTTTTCCTTAGTGCATTATAATTCACCTTCCTGCATTCTAAAAGATGGTGCTAACAAAAGAGTTGGTTTGTCACAGGAGGAGATTCTTGATTTAAAGGAAATAAAATCAGGTTGCCATATTAGTCAGGTTAATTATAAATAAAATCATTTTCTGCATTTTCTCTGTATAGGTAAAATCTGGATGAAACACTGCCTGCAATGGGATGCGGCAGCACAGGGAAAACCACTGACACAATTACAGCACCTTAAAGCTTTTCTTGCTCTCAAGAACTTATTTCATGCACCAAAGCAATGTGAATGGCTCACAGGAACCTGCTTTTGTTGCCATTTGTGTGAACACTCCCAGTTACAGCATTTCAGAGGAACGTTCTCAGCCAGCCCTACACAAATTGCCATTGCACAAGTGATGATCCCACAGGATTTGGGATTTGTAGGTTGAACAGCTTCAGAAGGCAACCTAAAAGGCTTGAAATCTCAGGGAATATCATCTCTTAAAGCTGTCTTACTTTCAAAGCTTAAAGAACGTTGGGTTTTTGATATTCAGTGTTCAGCTTTGGGTGCCTCACAACAAGAAAGACATTGAGGTGCTGGGACCTGTCCAGGGAAGGGCAACAGAGGTGGGGAAGGGTCTGGAGCACAGGTCCTGTGAGGAGCAGCTGAGGGAGCTGGGGGTGTTTAGGAGAGGAAGAAACTCACAGAGATCTTATCACTCTAAATCTCCTGAAAGGAGGGCGCAGCCAGGGGGGTTGATCTCTCCTCCCAAAGAATAGTGATAGTGCAAGAGGAACTGGCCTCAAGTTTCACCAGAGGAGGTTTAGATTGGATATTAGGAAAAATTGCTATTCCAAAAGATTTCCCAAACATTGGAACAGGCCAGGGAATTGACAGAGCCACCACTCCTGGAGGTATTTAAAAGACAAGTAAACGTGGCACTGAGGGACATGGTTTAGTGGGCTTGGCAGTGCTGGGTTAATGGTTGGACTCAATCATCTCAGAGGTGTTTTCCAACCTAGGTGATTCCATGGGTCTCTGGTTCTGTGATCTTCCCACAAGCACAGCATGGGAACCTCCTGGCCCTGCTGCTGGGATCTCTGCTGGGCACACACACTTTCCCCAGCTGCTCACACCTGCTGCTGTTGTACCACGTTACATTGTGGGGAAAGGGGAGGATAGTGAGATATCCACTGTCTCTGGGGTGCAGAATTCACTGTTTCATCACTGCAGGGCCACTTTCACCATCCTGAGCAGTATTGTCAGACCCACAAACAGGCATGGGAGCAACATGTGAGTGTCTGTCCTGGGTCAGCCCACCTTGGCCCAGTGTCCTGTGTCCAAGAGCAGTCACCAAATGACAACGGAAATAAGAGAGAAGCTGACAACCATAATATGAGTTGATCTCATGTACCATCCCATTTTTCTATCAATCACTCACCTGATGGTTTTCTGAACAAGAAGGTGTTCAGAAAGACACTTCAATGTCTTTCTTGTTGTGAGCCCAGATCACTGTGCTAAGGACTAAAGCACCCTGCAGCATCCTGTGGTTAAAACTGAGGCATCCTGAGTGCTGCAGCATCCTGTGGCAGGGAATTGTGTGGTTCACTCTTGTACACTGCATAGTAATGATAATCCTCTTTGTATAACACTGACTGATTTCAATACCCAAATGTTGCATTTTAAGAAAGAATATGTGGCCCTTTTTAGTGTAAGACCCAAGCTGGTGTTTAATTCATTAAGAGAAAATAATATGTAAAACAGCAATATTTATCCATAGCATACAAAATGTAAATGCTTTGTGCTGTGATGTTTGGGTGTCATTAGAATAATTTTAAAGGCAAGTGATTTAATTGTGTTTGTGCTAATTATAATGTTTACAAATTAGGGAAAGATGCATTTAGTGGTCTGTTGGGAAAGAGCTTTGAAACCTCACATGTCTTTGAGTCTACAGTACTGTCATCTAGTCATAAACTCTTTCTAACACCAGTGTGATTTGCTTTTTAGATTACTCTTGCATGAAAAGCGAGTCCCAAGAGCCTTCAGCTCCATGGAATTCAAACCCAGGTTCACGTGTGTGTGTGTGTTTTGACAGAAATTTAACCGAGTTCTTTTCTCTTCCTTTCACAGGTCCCCGTGTCCCGATGGTGACGGTTCACAACACAACAGATGCACAGAGTAAGGATGGGCTTGAGCTTTGCAACTCTTCAGAGAAAAGCAGCCAGGCAGGACACTGAGATGTGGCTGCTCTTTGCTAAACTCACACTCCTGGGGACCCCAGACTCTGCCTAAATGCAAGTTTAGGGGGACTTGCAGAGCTGTTGTACTGCCATCACAACAGCTGCTGTTTGGGGTGAAAAGACTGGTTGGGGCATGTTTATCCTCTGTCTCAAAAAATGCACAATTCAAATCTCTCTTTTTGTTAGTCTTCCTCTGATTTTGTTTTGCATCCCATATATAAGAAATAAGATAAGATAAATATAAGAAATATTTAGTCTAATCTCTGGTTTTAATAAAATCACTCTGATATGAATTATCAAAGATAATGCAGAGGAGGGAGCCCCACAAGTGGTGCCTCTGCCTGGTTCCCAGATCTGTCCATGGAGATTGTAGCACTTATTGTTTGGTAAAGCTTTGTCATGCTAATGATTTGCATCTACATCAGTGCAAAGCTGGAATTATTCCAAAAACAGGTTTCATCCCTCAAAATACTTGGCACTCTCTATAACCATTAGCAGACTGGCAATGCAGAGTCCAAAAATCCATGGAGATTCTGGGGTTCCACTCTGACAGTGTGGCATTGTCTCACGTAAAACTTGATTTATCTGCTCCCATCATTTTGATGGGAGAACATCATCTTTCATTTTAACAAAGAATTTAACCCAGCCTTAACTGCAGTTAAGGACTTCAGGCCCTGATTTTACCCAAATATTAAGCAACACCTTTAGTTTATTTCTATCTGCTTTATACACAGTCAATACCAGTTTATCAAGTAAAAGTTTTACTTATCTGGATTTACAGCACCTCACTGCTCTTGTCTCAAAAGAAAAACAGAATGAGCAAACAAGAAATTTGGTTTATATACTAAAGATTTACTGTGAAATGCTGACCTGCTTCATTTCCCACTGAAGGCAGTGAGAGTCACAGGAAAGGCTTTTGGCAAAAGGGACTGTCAGGTCCTTCTTCATCCTAGCAGAGCCTGAGTTTGGCAGTGCCCTCTCCAAGGATAACCCCAGAGCAGCCCAGCTGATGCCCACAGGGCCCTTCAGACAGGAGAGTTTCTTCACCCTCTTGCAGCTCCAAAGTCAGTTTTTTTCTCCCCCACTTTAAATAAAACACCTGAATTTTACCGTAGACCTGGAGGTGTCTGAGTGGCTCTACCAGCATGGGATAGGGCTCTCATGAGTGGTTTCATACCCTCCTGTACAGATTTATAAAATACTTTTAGGTGAATAAAATGACAGAAAATATAAAACAGAAACAGTAAATGAAGGGCTTTAAAAACTAAACCAAAACACACCAGGACTAGTTTTATTTTGACAGATGCATATGAGTAGTATCTATTACACAGAGAACTCAGTCTACTCATGTGCAGAACACATCCTCTACTGAAATTCATGATTTTCTGCATACAATTACCATTCCCCTGATTATTTTCCTTTTTCCCCCTCACTTTTTTGCTTTTGAATAAAGGGCAACTGACAGTTGCATGTTACTGAATTTACTTATTTAATATGAACCCATTACTCTATAAAAGGGAGTCTGCCTCTGTATTCTGCAATAATCTGATAATAGTGAGTTGCACTGAATATTAGAGAATGCTTACATTTAATTAAGCAATGACCATTTGTACTCCACAGACTCAAGCTCCCTGTGGTCCTAAAGCAAAAAGGAAAGTCCTTTAGGAGATATGCCAATCTTTTTATTTCCTCCCCAGTCTTCCTGGCTTTCTGTGAATGTAATTATATGAACAAATAAAAGGGCTTGACTAAATTCCCCTACGTGGCAAGCCCCTTTCTGCTGATAAAGCTACTTGTGTGTGCCATAATTAAATGAGAATCTTAATATTTAACTAAATGTAATAGGCTGTTGCTCTGCTACTTTTGTGGGGGCTGTGGCTTTGATAAAGGGCCAGGCTTTGCAGAAGCAGGGTGAATAGTCACTGAAGCACTAACTACTGCTGAAAGATCTCTGAAATATATTAACTGGGAAGGGCAAGAGTTTGTCTGCCTGGCCAGTGAGAGCAGGATGAGCAGGTACCAGAATTGTTATTTGAGGAGCTCAAATAACAATTTATTTTTATAATGAATTTATATTATATTTTTATATATTACATTATATAACAATGAATTTATTTTACATATAAATTCATCAGAGTGTCTCAAAAGGGAAGTTGCAGTCAGGGACACACAAATGGGATGTGAAATCTCACCCTCCTTGGGTTCATTGGCAGAGATAATGCCCTGGATCCCCCTGGTTCACACCCAGACTGATGCCAGGGGAATGAGCAGTGCCTAGACCAGGATTCCCTCACCCCAGCCCTTGAATCCCCTCTCCATGGGGCTCAGAACCTTTACCCACACATTTCCCACCATGTAAGACACACAGCCTGAGGTGTCCCCTAAAGAGGAGCCCTTTCCCTGCCAGCTGGGAAGGATTTCTTCTTTCTGCTGCTGGAAGGGGCTGCTCTTTCTAGAAGAGGTTAAGCAGGTAGAGCACATGGCCAGGATGAGTGGATAAAAGTTAAATCCCAGGAAGGAGGAAGGAATCCTCTATATCAGACATGGAAGTACTTGGGTCAGACACACAAGCAAAATGTAAATTTTTTTAAACACTCCAAAAGTCAAGACTGCTGCAAAACCTGATGTTACAGGTTTGTATGGGCTTTGTCCACTCTCCTGCCCCCATGGCTTTCCCTCCCACGGATTTTATCTTGCGCAGCAGCACAACTTTGGCTGAAGCCCTCCATAGTCTCCTCCCCTTCCTATTTATTATCTATAATTTGGATACACCCTTGAGGACCTCTTCACTTGAGATCTATCTTGGCATGATGGGTGGATGTCTGACTGGGACCCATGGTAGTGTCCCAGGTCACCTCCCCATCTCCTGCAAATCAGCTGAATGTCTCTGATTTCAGGACTACAGCTTTTTGCCAATGCAGAACTTGGGAGGGGTTTCAAAGATTTAAGTGAATTAGACTTCTGTGAGGACTAGAAGGAAATCCATTTGTAAGGAAGCTTGTTTTGTATATATCAAGGTGACTATAAAATGCTAAAATGCATTTTCACAAACTGTGCCAATTTTTTTTGATCTTGTCTTGTTCTTCTTTCAGAAATTTTTGAGCTGGAGGTAAATGAAAATGTGCAGCTGGCTGTAAATGACAGGCAAATGCCTAAGGTAGAATACATGGAAATCAAGATAGATGATTACAGTAAGTAGCACCTTTCTTCTCACTTATTTTTCTCTTTCACCGCTGTAGCTGTGAAATGATACAGCCATCCTGACTAGACTGGCAGGAGGAAAAATGACTTTGACTCTCAATAAACTCACACAGTTTGCAAAGCACTCTCCTGGAATGTGCTACATAAGGAGGTTATTACAGAGGCAGAATTTGATGAGAACTCAGCTGAAGAAAGGCAAAATGATAGGGTTGGATTTTTTTTTACTCTTAAAACTTTCTCTGTGCAGAAAAAGCCACTCTGGGAAATGACACGTTGGGGTGTCCCATTGTTGGAAGCTTTTGCCCTGCGTGTGTGTGTGTCATTTGAAATGGGTTTGGAGTGGGATAATGTGTGTGCTTGCTGCCTACAGCTGTGGCTGCCTCTCAGTGCACAACCTGAGCTGCAGTGAATGAAGATGACTCTTGCATGACTGCCCTTTGGAGTCACTCAGGATTCTTTGAAAAAGCTATGATTTGGGGAGGTTAAAAAAAAAAAAAAGAAAGAAAGAAAAAGAAAAAAAGCTTTATGTGGAAGAAAAAAAGGAGATTTCACCTGTAGTAAAGAAAGAAGAGACTTAGAGCAGTTTGCACCTGCAGCTGGTGTTATTTCTACCACTTGTAACTTGTATAATCATTCTCCACATACATACATACATATATATATATATATATACACATACATATATATATATACACATATATATATATATATATATATATATTCCAAAGAGGCAGAGAAAAGCCTGGTGGCAAACAGCCAAAATGTAAGCCTGTCTCTGTAGTTGTACCTGAAACAACCTAAAAAAAAAAAAAAATCTCCTCTGGCTGTAGGCAGATACCTTCCCCGTATGGGGAAAATCCACATACTCAGAGATGCACAAAGACTCCCCAAAATCCCAGCCTGCATGTATGGTGGCGACTCTAGAACAAGACCCCAAAGACTCTGGGTTCAAAGTGTGGCCCATAATGTTTCCCATGCCAGAAGGAGTGTATTTCTGAGGCCACAGGATTGGAGTGAAAGCAGCAAGTTGTGCTGAGGGCAGGTTACTGATTGCAGCCATTTCCAGAAGTTATAAAATGTGAAACAAAGGCTGGGAGATGGCTGCCATTTGAAAAGGGTAAAAATGGCCCTAAAATGTTCTGTTTGCCACATGGGCATAAGGAACATAAACCAGTGCATGAAATAACAGGAACAGACATGCAATTCCAAGTTTTATGGACAAGAAAGGATGGATAAAGAACCCACATTTCCCCCATGAGCCAGCTCATGTGAGACTGGCAGTTTATTAGGGATAACTCAGCTTGATACTAATTTTTTTAAATACAGGCCTTATTGCAATTCTTCTCATTTAACCAAAAAATACTTGTGTGTATATAAATATAATAAATACAAACTGGCCATTCTGCTGTGCCATCCCTGTGTTTCCAAAGCTTTGGGCTGAGCAGCTTGGGGAGCACTGCACGTAGCACTTTGTAATATTTAAAGTCAATCCATGGCCTTTTTGGATGTCCCTGGGCCATTGATCCAATTTGCAGCTATTAGCATTCAGATGGAATAACTAATTAGGCAGAGTGTCAGGAAACGATTGCAAAGCAAACCACTTAAACCGTGCTGCTAATCTGTGTATTAATCTACTGAAAATGCTCCTAATACCAATTTAATTGCTGAGCCTTTGCTAATCTAGATTGTAGTTAACATTTCAAAAATGAATGTGCTGTTGTTGATGCAGAGAGGGTTTTTATGGAGGCAGTTTTGTCTACTGATACAAAGCCACAGAAATGACATTCAGTTAAAAGAAGCTTTAGTGATCACACCTCTCCTTTACATTGGTTCTGTACCAGTATAACTTGGGCTTCAGCACCTTTGCCTCCCAAAATTTAACCCTTTGGAAGTTAGGATTCTCCCTCTGTCCTCACACCATTATAGCAAAATAATTCTATTTCTCCCCCAGCCACCATACTTAATTGGGTTTTAAATTACCATTTTCATTGCCAATTTTCCTCCCTCTCTGCTGCCCTGAAATATTGATTTCTGTCTGCGTCACTCATCCAGCTGCCAAAAAAGGAAAATTGTAGCTATTGACAGATGTTAATTGAACGCTGTAAAATTGATGCATGACTGAGCAGCTCGCACTGTACTCCCCATTTACATTTCTTGTCACCTCAGCTATCACAATGTGGGTCTTTTCTCTGGCAACATCTTTGTTTCTAAGGTGATATTCACCACAGCCTCTGAAGAAATCCCATTTTGCTCCTACTTATCTGTGGCCAGAACACCAGAAAAATCTCTTGGAATCATGTCAGCATTCCCATATCGAAGATATGTTGTTAATTGTTCTTTTTTTTTTTTTTTTGCTTAGGATTACCAATGCAGATCTTAAAGCCAGCAACCTTTGCAGACACCGCTCACTACCCCTTGCTTTTGGTTGTGTAAGTTCTCTCTTGTCCTTTCTGTTCACTTTATCAGGGCAGCTTGGAAACCTTGGTCATGATCAGAAACCTCTAAGATATTGTTTTGTACAAGGAATGCCAGAGTCCATCACACTGTTTCCTACCCCATCTCACTTCACAACTGGGAGAGGCCAGATGTACATCCCTTCTTTCCCAGGTTTGAGCCAAGGTTTTCAGCTTTCTGGAGGGCTTCCTGTTGAAATCCTGCAGAGCAAATTTGGGATTTTGTGAAGGCATTTCATGCACACTTCAATCACTTGTGGGGCATAAATGGGAGGAGGAGGAATGCAAGATGAATTTTGGCTTCCTGTCCCAGTACTTAGGGCACCCACCTTGTGATTAACAGGTAATTTTAGAGTGGAATTCAGTCAGCCTTACTAGAGCTTAAATTTTAGGTGCCCTCATGCAGAAATCATTCTCCTTTAAGTGCTGGTGTTTGCTGAAGTGACAGCAAAGAGAGAGCTGGAAACCTTTGAATATCTCTACAAAGATAGCATTTATATTAAATAGGAAGGTTTTCCTCCTGGCAGGCAGAGCAGATGGGTATTTCTTTATGCAACATTTAGTAACAATAATGCACATTACTGAGTGGGGTTTTTTGGCAATTTGGAAAGAAACTGCGGGAGGGAATTGACTGACCTTGGAAGAACCCGTTTGGCCCTGGCTGCATCCCAGTGCATCCCTTGCTGCCTGCCAGGGAACACCCCATGAGAGAAAAGCCTCATGCAGGAGGGATGAATGCCTGGTGAATGCCTGTGCCACCCTGCACAACTCTCCATGAAGGACAAAGCCACTGCAGGGAGCGTGTCATTGCATCATAGAATTACTGCAGAGAAAACCTGCTTCATTTCCAATGTGCTCCAGGAAGATTGGCTCTCATCAGGCACCCAGCACTTGATTAGGCTGCCCTTGGAGCTGGGTGGGCCAGGGTCTCGCTTGGATAAATGTAAATGACTGGAGACACATGTGCATTGAGGTCCTGCAGTGAAGTGCCTGATGTCTCTTAGAACCCCAAAAATGACAAAAAAAAAAAAGCAGATAAAAATGCCAGTGGCTCTACAGTAATCTCAGCCTAAAATTATTACTTAAAGTCATCATCATCATCATCATCATCATCATCCCTTGTTTTTTCTGAGCTGCCTGGCTGAAGTAGGGTCTGTATTTCTCAAGATGGTTCCCCTGTGCAGGATCAGACCCTAAGCAAAAGGGTGAAGAGGAGATCTTGCTCACTCCTTTCCCCTTCTCAATTTTGAGCCAAACTGGGCATTATTAAGCTGTTTTTTATAACTTCAGAAGAGTCCTTTCCCTCTGTAGTTGTGTGAGGCAGTGATGACAGAACCACTTCAGCAGAAATTAAAAAAGAGCTTTGGGGAACGTAGAAAACAGATATACATTAGAGCAGAAATAATAAAGACAAAACTCAACTGACACCTGGTTACTCACAGGAGAAATCCTGACCAGTTAGAGATGTGCTTGCTGGTATGGTTCAAACCTCAGCTTGGGGGCTGCTGTGCACAGAGGGAGGCAGAAACCAACCCACAGCTTTCATCCAGCCTCAAAACCCACCCCACACAATGATCCTCCTGCACACCATTGTGAGACACAACCGCTCACTTTGAAAATATAAAAAGGTTTATTAAACCTCAACAAAAATACAACAAAGAACTACATAAGGAAAAAGCTGCAGTGGTGGGAACTGCCGTCGTGGCCAGTTCATCTTCAAGATGGATGCTCAGTCTTTTATACCCCTGGGGGTTGCATCAGCCAGCCTTGGCCCTTCCCAAGGTCTGTCAGTCAGCTCTTCGCCATTTTTTGGTGGAGACTGCTTTCTTGTAACTGGATTGGAGGTCAGGTGTTGCCATGCCTCACCCCCTAAGCACCCCCAAGCTTTTCCATTCCCAGCTGCCCCATGCAAGGGACACCTGTGCAGCTTCTTTGTGCCTGTTCTGGACAGCCCAGGCTGTGTGATGGCAACAATACAGGGGGGAAAGGGAACTGTGGGGAGAACAGAGGACATCTAAACTACAATAACATAACTTTGTTACAAATGGTGTTCAATTTGTGGTAAAATAGGGCTGAGTTGAGAATTGTTGTTTTGGGGTGGGTTGATGAATATTTGCTGTGGGTCCTGGGGAGGGACATCTAAGGTTTGGTGGGAGGGATGGTCAAAGGGGGCAGGGGGTTATTGGACTTGACCAATCATTCAACGCCCTGAAGAAATGATTGGTCCAGAATGAATATCGATAAGGACCATGAGAACGCCGGAAACTGACCAATCAACAAGTGGATCCAAAACCCATCAATACTGGACCTGAGAGGGGTTATAAAATGAGGGTTTCCATTGAGTTTGGGGTTCTTCTCCTTTTGATGGGCTTACTTTTTGGGGGGAACTCAGCGTGTTTGGGACATGTTATTTTTGGGTTGTTGCGTGGGAGTTTGAGCTTATCTCAAACTCTGTCCCCTGTAATTGGTTTTAATAAATGAGCACCTTTTTCTTCTCAAAGTCTGGCCTTGTTTAATTTTATAACAACTATACATCACTAAAGCTTTTCTTAATAGTCACAAAATAGTTATCATTAAATTGCAAGAGCCAATCCTCTCCTTATCCATCTACAATGCCTGCAGCATCCCAGCATCACTTGCAGAGACTGGTGTCCCCTTCCAGAAACCTGTATTCCCTCACTCTGCCCCATGGGGCTGTGGGTGCCCATCCCACAGCAATCCCACAGCCCTGGGGAGGGCGTTGGGTGCTGTTACCTTTCCTTGACGCCCGTTTCTGTTCCAGGGATGGCACGCCTGGCAGCCAGATTGTCACGGAGAGGTTTGAGGTGACGTGGGAGAGCGTCATGGTCAGCTCGCACAGCGCCATCGTGCTCAAGTTCGATGGGCGCGGCAGCGGCTTCCAGGGCGCCAAGCTGCTGCACGAGGTCAAGAGGAGGCTGGGCCTTCTGGAGGAGAAGGATCAGCTGGAAGCTGTCAGGTGAACGGCACTGTTATTGAAGGAATTCATTCATTCATTCATTGGGATAATTGTTACCATTATGTTTTCTGGAAAAATATTCTTGCCCAGAATTCTTCTCCTGGGAAGCCTCAGAGAAAAAGGAAAACAATATTACCTCATTTGCTTCTCCTGTGTTTTGCTACTTTGGTTTAGATATTGTTTACCAACAATGTTTCATTGGTTTCGTGTGAATTGTTTTTACTTAATAACCAATCACCATCCAGCTGTGTCGGGGCTCTGAAGAAAGTCACGAGTTTTTCATTATTGTCTTTTAGCCTTCTGTATGAATCCTTTCTCTGTTCTTTAGTATAGTTTTAGTGTAGTATTCTTTAATATAATGTAGTAACATAAAATAATAAATTAGCCTTCTAAGAACATGGAGTCAGATTCTCAATTCCTCCTCCATCTGGGGAACCCCGAAAATACCACAGACAATTAATCCAAGACTCATTAGTCCTGGTTGCTTTAATAATGTGTAGGGTAGAGCAAGGAGATGGGAGGGAGGGACAATGTTGTGCAATCACAACTGCATGTGAGAGGCAGCTCATGTCAACCAGAGGAGAGGGAGAAAACCAAGCCTTAAACAGAGCTAAATTAGAGCACACTTATCTGTATCACATGTTCAAAGCCTATTTATTTTTAGCTCTGTACAGTCACACAGCTACAAACAAGCAAGCTTGAATATCTGTTCCTACATTAATCTTTTGCTAGCCTGGTAGTTGGAAAAAAATCCGTCTTTAAATCCTTAAACTTTTTAAACAGAATAACCAAGGCAAAACCCTAAATGTCAAGTTCTGTCATATTGTTAGATTTATTCTGCACATAATCACATTAAAACCACTATCAGAGTATTGCAATAGCTGTGCAATGGCTTATTATGGCTTCCAGAGGTAGTGCAGGTTATTTGTTGCCATTGCTTGGTCAAATCCAACACATGAGGTTACAAGATTAAATCAGAGAGATCCATGTGAAAGCAGCTTGGCGTGATTTAGATTGTCTGTGTCAAGGGGAAAGGGCTTTAAACTGAAAAGGGATAAGTTTAGATTAGATATTGGAAAGAAATTCTTAATTGAGAGGATGTGAGAACTGGCACAGGTTGCCCAGAAAAGCTGTGGGTGCCCCATCCCTGGAAGTGTCCAAGGCCAGGTTGGATGGGGCTTGGAGCATCCTGGGATAGTGGAAGGTGTCCCTGCCCATGGCAGAGAAGTTAGAACTGGATGAGCTTTAATGTCCCTTTCAGCTCAAATCATTCTATGAATTTTTTCTGGGGCTAGTTTGATTTAAAGCTGATTAAAGTTACTCTAAGTTTTGCTTTTAAAGAGAAAAATAATTTTAACCCATTGCTTTTCCTCTCTCATGTTCTAGGACAATGCTGGAGGAGCATTTCATTGACAAAACGAGAGTCGGTGTGTTTGGGAAGGTAATGCTGTGACATTGCTCTTCTGTGCTGTCCCAGCTGCCTGATATGGCTAAACAGCTGAGTTAACCCTGACTTATTGAATATCTCAGTGGTGACTTTTTTATTATTATTTATGTTTGGGATAGACTGCACCTTGCTCAGTGATGTTAAAGGTGGAGGCTTTCATTTCACCAATGTACTCATCAATGACTTCTTTTAAATTAACTTCCAAATGCAAAAAGTGACTGTTGCACAGAAAATATCATCAGATAGTTTTGGTTGTTTTTTTTTCTTTTTTTTTCCCATTGCAAACTTTCATTTTATATTCACCTTGTCTCCTAAAGCCTGTGGGAATGTGGGTACATCTAACTCATGTGTACAAAAACCCTGTGGAATTCTGAGGCTGATTTGCCACGTGTGCCTGGCTGGGAAACAGCCACTGTAAAGTACAAACAGTTTGAGATGAGAGTGGGACTGTGAGTATAAATTGTTTACTTGAGAGACAAGGGCTTGGAGTGGGCGAGGAGAGCTGCACGTAGAGCAGCATCTCTGCAGGGAATTGTTAACAGGCTGGCAGCAGTCACTGAAATTGTGATGCTCATTTTAAGTAGAGAAAGTCTGTAAGAGAAAGCAAGCATTTTGGAGAGGTAACAGATCTGGTTAGAGCTACAGCCATAGAGTGAGATGAGAAAGGCCAGCGCTTGGGCACACAACCCTCCTGCCTCCAGGAGATGTCCCTTGGTTTGTGTTTCTCCAGAGCAAGGTGTTACAGGCTCTGTAATGGCCAAGCATTTGCTGCAAGGTCTCAGCTGCCCTGTTTCTGAACCCAAAAGCAGCACTGCCTCCCAACAGGGTCACTGATACCCCTGTCCTGTTTCTGTTCCAGGATTATGGTGGTTACCTCAGCACTTACATGCTTCCAGCTGGTGAAGACAACCAGGTGTTCACCTGTGGAGCTGCTCTTTCCCCAGTGACAGACTTCAGACTATATGGTAAATCCCATTCCTCAGCCCACAGAACCCCCTGCTGACCACAAGTGATGTTTCTTCCCTATCCTTTAAAACTTGCCATTTTTCTTTCCCAAGATCTTGCTTATTTTATATTCTGTGTCTTTTTAGGAGTAGCCATCCACCTTTTTTCCCTATTAAAGCAATTTAGCTGCACCAGTGGGACCAGCTATGGTAGTTAGAGCAATCAAATCACTTTATTAATAATTTTAAATAAAGGAGAATTGTCTTTAAACCCCTCTAGCCTTTTCCACCAACCACCCCCAGTGCCTTGAATCTGCTTCCTTCCTGCCTGAAGCGCCCACCCATGCAAGCTGAGGTCCAGTCTGCCTGGCCCATCCTGCCTCTGACCACAGCACTGCCCTGCACATGAGGGTCCTTTCTCTCAGGGACAGCAGTTCACTTTGCACTTAGTGCCACTGAAATTCAGGGGGCTGCCCGGGAACTCAGTGGTGTTCAGCCAGACTTCAGGAGCTGTGCAGTCATCCCTGAGACCAAAGGGAACTTGCTCCATGCAGAAGGAGAAAGGGACACAACCTGATAGAGCTCTTCTATCTCAGTTGCATTAACAAAGAAAAAAAAAAAAGGTTTTTCTGATTTATTTAGAGACCAGAAGTCCATGGTGATGATGACAGACTGTGGTATCACCAATATCCTTAGTTCATTTTGAAAAACTTTTAGAAATTCGTCCTCTATAATTAAGGCCATGTTAGAAAATAAGGTGGTTTTTTGCATTTACCATATTTGACTCAAAAGCACCAGTGTATTCTTGACTGAAAGTGATATTTTCATTTTTTCTCTTCAAGCTTCAGCCTTTTCTGAAAGATACCTGGGCTTGCACGGGGTTGATAACAGAGCATACGAGGTAACTTCATGGACACTGCATTTCCCTGATAAAATGTGAACTGGGTCTGAACTCTCTTTCCATATGCTCTCCTTTGGGGAGACAGCAAGGTTTTGCAAGAGGGACTCTCTAGTGGAGCTCTGAAGGTGTCCTTCAGTCTGCTTACTGCTTTTCTTGTCTTAATAGTAATCGTGGATGAAGTTTTTATTGATTAGCCCTGGTGTCTGCCTCTGTAAATTGGGTAAATACAGTTTTAGAGATTGAAGGAGCTGAGTGACTCAAATGTGCCCAAGAGGACACAGTGTCATGACCTCCAGGAAAGTTCTTGCCAATGATCTTGCCACTTTGATTCTCTCTGAGATAAACAAATTCAAGTGAAACTCAGCTTGACTTTCTCAAGCTTTGTGATATTTCAGATAGGCAGAACTCTGAGCCAGAACTGAGCAGGACATGGGAAAGGAAGCACAGAACCAGTTAATAAAGACATTGTTTAATACATGTGATGGGATCAGTTGGATCCTGTGCTGAAATTACTTGGAGGCAAAACCTGATAAAGAGTAGTCACACTAGCAAAATTAATTATAGAGAAAATCTATTCAGCTTCCAAGCCTTGTGTCCAGCCAGAAGACATGAAGGTAGCAAAGGTCTAGCATTGTTCTCACAGAGAAAGCAAATACCACCCTCACAAGGGAAGATTCATCCTGGCTACCTAAACTCTGAGTTCATTTTCTCTCAAATTCTATATTAGTGCAAATGCTTTTTGTTCTTTTAGAAATTGTTTGTATTTATATTCCCTTGTGCATCTGAAAGACAGCTGAGGACAAAGGTGTTCTCAACAGTGGACACTTGAATTTCATATCAGATCATCCCCCAAGCTGCCAGAACGCATTGAGGTTGGCTTCCAAAACACACAAAGTCCCTCCAGATCCATGAAGTGTCCTTAGGCATAGGCACATGGGCACACTTTTTTTCAGAGTTTTTTGTTCACTTTGATATTTTTCCATGTATTCTACAGTTCAGGCTTTTATGGAACATTATCAGAAGAGAGGAGGATCTCTGAAATGTTCCTGCTGCAGACATTGCCCTGCCAGCACAGGGTGGGGGTTTATTTTACCTCTAGATTTATATAAGTAGCCAGGAGAATGTGGTGTGCTGGGGCCTGCTTGTTATCCTGGTGATAAAGCATTAAATGGAAATAAGCACTTCTATTGCCTCCATATAAATTGCTAATTCCTTACAAGTTTTTAATCTTATTGCAACCTTTACCTCCACAGATCAGCAAATTATCACACAGAGTCTCATTACTAAAAGACCAGACATTTTTGATCATTCATCCTACTGCTGATGGTAAGTTATTCCATCATTTGAGTTCATTATATGTTTGTGATAGCTTTGATTTTTGTTAATTAAATGTCTCTTTAATGATTGCAATCTGTTTTTACAGAAAAAATCCATTTTCAGCATACTACAGACCTTATCACACACCTAATTAGGGCAAAGGCTAATTACAGCTTGCAGGTACAGTATATGTTTCTTTTTTTTTTTTTCTATTTGAACAGTTATTTCCCTGTTTCAACTCAAGCTGCTGTTATGAAGCAAGGTTTGAAAAACCATTTGCAAACTCAGCCTGGCAGTAGAAGTAGCACCAGCATATCACATGTTTCTATTAGTTCCATGCTTATGTGGCATCAGAGTTTTGGTCTGGACCGTTGTAGAACAATTATTGAATTACAGTAAATTAGGTTGTGACAGACATTTCCCTAAGGAATTTATGCATGTTGACTTTCTTTGGGAACAACAGAACAAATTCAGGGTGAATTTTGGGGAAACGGGGTTTTAAATCAAACAGAAAAGTTACAAAGATATATGTCACCTAAATCTGACATCCCACTGGGAATGGCACAGCTCCACTTTCCACCAAATTGTATCTCTTTTTTGCTGAATGGTCCATGTCTAAGCCATTAAATCTTTCAAAATGAACCCACCCTAGCATCCCTGCCTAGACAACCCATTATGATCTACATCAAGTTACCTGCTTCATTTTATTGAAAAGTTGAGTTTAAACAATTTAATTTCTGGCTTCACCATTTTTTTTCAATTTATTTACTTCTCCAGCAATATTTATTATATTAAATTTTTTAACTAATGACATTTTTGCTTTAAAGCCCTCATTTTAGTCAGTATAACCTAATGCCATTTCTCTCCAAAACTGAATGTTTTTTGGTTTACACAAGGAAAGTGTGGGCTGGTTCTTCTTAGACTGAACCCATTCAGAACAGAATTAAATGGAAAATCCCTCACCCCAGAAAGGTTCCTTGTGAAGGAAGATGCCAGTCTGCACTCAGAGCACTGTGGTGCCCAAATTACCCTGGGCTCATGAGCATCCATGGGAAGTCCCGGGATGCTGAGGAGATGCAAGGGGTTTGCAGCTCAAGCTGCAGGTGTGGGTGGTCTCCTGAGACTTTCACTCTAAAAGTTGTTTATTTACCTGTTTCTTTGCAGATTTACCCTGATCAAAGCCATTACTTCAGCAATGCAGCGTTTGAGCAGCACTTGTACCAGTCCATTGTCAACTTCTTTGTGGAGTGTTTCCAGGTTCCAGACAAGCTCCCACTGGCCCCGCTGAAAGAGGAGGAGGAGGATGATTAACCCTACTTGTCCGTGCTAAGCACAAGGCAGATCTCTCTGACAATATGCAACTGGATCATTTTCCTGAAGAAAGAGATGTTGTTAGCATGTATTTAAAAAAAAAAAAAAAAAAAACCAAAACAAAAAAAAACCAAACTGAAAGCAGCTCCTCTGCTTTACTTGACGGCAACTCCTTCCTAAATGGAAGAACATTAAGCATGGTGAACTCAGCAGAAACTGCTGTCTGAAATAAATCCATCACAACCAACATCTTTTTCTTTGGTTGAGTTTTTCCTTTTTTTTCTTCCTTTTTTTTTTTTGTTTGCCACAAAATGACTTCTAGAATGAAAATGGGAAGACGCTGAACTTGAAGGAACACCCCAAGAAACCACTTTGAGGACTGGAAGATTTGATGTCTCTTTGCAGTCAAGCAGTCAAGCAGTAGCAGTGAAATCCATCATCCACATTAAGGTTGCTATAGTTAGCATCACACTGTGTCAGAACAAAAAATCTAATCTAATACATGGAGAAGATTATAGCACAATTATTTTGAAGGATACAGCTTCAATTCATGCACTTGCCTGCTCTTTTCCATCTCCAGGAGGTTTGTCATTGCTACAGGATACACAAACCCAGATGGGCAAAATATCACTACAGCTACACTGATCTTAAACCTCCCTGTAATTATTTGTTAATTCTGTATTGCTTTTACTTCTGTTGTTCATTGGGTCTCATGCTTACCTTATTAGCTTCTCAGCTTGTTCTGGATGGGGAAAAACATAAAATTAATTAACCAACTCACTTTAGACCTCAGGGGTCTAATGAGGCAATGGGACTTGAGCTACCCAGATATTAAAAGATCTATTGGAATAAAGCAAAGAAAAACTCACTCTTGAGTTCCCAAAATAGCTCTTGCCAGCAAGATTGAGTATTTTCTTTGGCAGCCTTGAGAAATATGCACATAAATAAACTAAATCAGCTTACATTGAGATATTTTTTATTGCGATGTAGAAAAATATGCGACAGTCATGATTATTCTTTCTCTTTCTTTAGAGTTGGAACAAATGGTTGGTAACCTGCTAGGGAACAGCTAGGTGAGGCTGTGGTACAGGAATTTGTACCAGAGACCTCACACATCATCTTATAAAGCCATTTAAACAGAGACAATGTGCAGAGATTTACTGCACATGCTGTCTGTGGCTTAGTTTTATTCCAGGTCAATGATTAGCATATTCCAAA